GGTGGAAAATGGGGAAAAAAAGGGCTCAGGGGGAGGTGGGAGTGGTGAGGGGACTGGGATCTGCCACAGGGATTGAGGGGATGATTTTGGGGCAATTTTGGGATAATTTGGGGATAATTTGGGGTAAATTTGGGGTAAATTTTGGGATAATTTGGGGTAAATTTTGGGGTAAATTTTCAGGTAATTTTTGGATATTTTTGGGATAATTTTAGGGCAATTTTGGGATCATTTGTGGGTGAATTTTGGATAATTTGGGGATAATTTGGGGACAACTTCGGGAGAATTTCGGGATAAATTTTGGGACAAATTTGGGACAATTCTGGGATAATTTTGAGATAAATTTGGGATGATTTTGAGATAAATTTGGGATAAATTTTGGGACAACTTTGGGGTAAATTTTGGGGTAATGTTGGGATAATTCCGGGATAATTTTAGGTTAATTTTGTGACAATTTTGGAGTAATTTTGGGATAATTTTGGGATAATTTTGGGGAAGTTTTGGGGATAATTTTGTGATAATTTTGGGGTAAATCTTGAGATAATTTTGGGATAAACGTGGGATAATTTTGGGAATATTTTAAAAATATTTTGGGATAATTCTGGGACTATTTCATGAATATTTTGGAATAATTTTGGGACAATTTTGGGACAATTTTGGGATAATTTTGGGACTATTTCAGGAATATTTTGGGGCAATTTTGGGACAATTTTGGAGTAATTTTGGGAATATTTCAGGAACATTTTGAGATAAATTTGGAATAATTTTGGGAATATTTCAGGAATATTTTGGGGCTAATTTTGGGGCAATTTTGGGATAATTTTGGGGCAATTTGGGGATAAATTTGGGATAATTTTGGGAATATTTCAGGAATATTTTGGGGCAATTTTGGGACAATTTTGGGAATATTTCAGGGATATTTTGGGATAATTTTGGGATAAATTTGGGATAATTTTGGGACAATTTCGGGATAATCTTGGGAATATTTCAGGAATATTCTGGGACAATTTTGGGACAACTTTGGGATAACTTTGGGAATATTTCAGGGATATTTTGGGATAATTTTGGGATAATTTTGGGAATATTTCAGGAATATTTTGGGATAAATTTGGGATAAATTTGGGATAATTTTGGGGCTATTTCAGGACTATTTTGGGGCTATTTTGGGTCAATTTTGGGATAATTTTGGGAATATTTCAGGAATATTTTGGGATAAATTTGGGATAATTTTGGGGCTATTTCAGGACTATTTCGGGGCTATTTTGGGTCAATTTTGGGCCACTCACATCCTTGTCCCCTTTCTTCTTCCGGGTCTGCACCGACAGCGACTCCACCTCGCTCTCAAACTGATCCACCTGCATGTTGAGGGTGTCAATCGTGTTCTGGGGCAACAAAAACGGGCAAAAATCAGAATTTTCAGGCAAAAAAATCACGATTTTGAGAAAAAAAAAGAATTTTTTAGCAAAAAAACCCGATTTTTGGGATGAAAAACATCGATTTTCTGATGAAAAACTTGAATTTTTACACCAAAAACTTGAATTTTTACACCAAAAA